TCAACACTGATGGATTTTTTTATGGGGGGACATTGAAAAACAGGCGCTACGATTACAGAACAATTTAAAACTGAAAATAAGAGAGGAAATAGAAAACATTATTCAAACTTATATTATAAGCAACACTATATCTGAATTAGAAGTCATATACACAATATGTTTATCTGATAAAGGAGGATATTGTTGTTATTTAAATTTTATTGTTTGTATTTAGTTTAAATTCATTGTTGTTATTGCTATTTATGTTTTCTAATTCATCGGTCATTTATTATTATCACCTTTCCTAATTTGTTGTCTTTTATAGAATTTGTATTATTATTTTTGTTATTGTTACTTGTTTGAATTTATTATTATTTTCTACTATGAAATTATGATCTTTATCGATTTTTAATTGTAATATAATTGTTAGTTGATTTGTCTTTCATTGGAATATAGGTACAAAAAAAAAATCTGGGCGATTCACTACACAATGCAAACATTTAATTGATCAATGCATGCTGCATTTTACTGCATGTTGAGACATGTCCATGAGTGCATAGTAGCCATTAGCAGCACGTCTGTTGATTTAGTTGTTCATTCGTATTGACAGTGTAAGGTGCTGACTATGGCATCGTGGTCACGCACTTAGATAAGGGCAGTTTTACGGTATAACTTTACGCGTGAATAAGCATAGACCAGTCCCTGGAAGAAATGACGCTTGCATTATAGAATGATTGTCCTCATCGTACCTCATACGTACATCATACCTCGGTATGTGAAAAGCATCGTGACAGGTGACGAGACTTGGCTCTATTATTACGATATGCCGACCAAGGTTCAAAACAAAGTTTGGATGAGGTCACACCCGTAGCTGCCAAAAAATTCCGATCTATTATGAAAAAAATGATACCTGTATTTTTCAAATCGAGCAGGATTGTGGTGCCTCCACCATGACAACGCTTCAGTTCACCGCGCCAAAGCCTACACCGATATTTGACAACTACTGGACTGAAACTTATTGAGCACCCTCATTACAGTCCAGATCTTGCCCCCTGCGGCTTTGCACTGTTTCCGCATGTGAAGATGAAGCTAAAAAGAAAACGGTTTTCTAGCGATTAGGACCTTCTCAGGGCTTGGTACCACGAGTATGTCGCACTCCCGGGAGAAACTTGGCAGAGCTGGTTTAAGGGCTGGTTTTGGCGGATGGAGAAGTGTATTGAATGTGGTGGAAATTACTGTGACGATAACAAATAGTACTGTTGGCGCCATCTGTTGGGAGACTCTCCTACTCGCCAGAGCTTCATGGCCGATCTCTGCTTTTACGCGGACCACGACCGCACAAGCCGCTTGGCGACGTCTGCGAGGACCGTGCCAGTGACTCGCCTTCTAGATCGACGTGACGTGACCTCGAAGAGTCTAGACTGCCGCTCTGTGGAACGCCAGACTTTTCTCAGTCCACGATGTGGACTATATAACACGACGGCCGGGAGATGGAAGCAGAATACGGTAGAGTAGCAGAGCGGAGTGGGGTACAGTCCAGTCAATGGCGCGGCATAAGAATTGGTCAGACATAAATAGTGGTGTACATAAATGTTCTATCTAGTCAAGATAAATAAATTAGTGCATTTCTTTTCGTGGAATCCAGTGTTTTAATCCACACCCAGAAAAACGCTACATTACTTTGAACGACGTCAATGAATAAAGCTGTATTTTAAAACTTTTATAGTACCCTGTACTAACTACTGACAGTGATGATGGGTTGATTATTGTGTCAATTTTAACTTCAAGCTAACCTCAAAATTTCAAAACCTTCATAGAGAGGTTGGTCAGACATAAATAGTGGTGTACATAAATGTTCTATCTAGTCAAGATAAATAAATTAGTGCATTTCTTTTTGTGGAATCTAGTGTTTTAATCCTCACCCAAAAGAACCCAGACAAAGGCTACATTGGTGTCAGGTGTGGGGTGTAGATTATTGGATATATAGTGAAAATAAATCGGACGATCAGTGAAGGAAGAATGGCGCGATCGGTTGATTTGAAAATTGCCGATTTAAAGAGAGAGCTGGTGGAAAGAGAGTGCGATACTGCTGGAAAGAAAGCAGAATTAAAGGAGCGGCTTCGTCAAGCACTGACTGAGGAAGGCGAGGAACCGGATAACTTTTACCGGTGCAGGAGATATTGGTTTAATGCTGCAAAACCTTTCGACGAAGACCACCGATCTTTTAGAAAACTCAGCCAAGTTAGAAAAAAGGCTCGTGGAAAATTGTGCCAACCTAGAAGGAAAATTCTTGGAGTTACACGAAAGTACAGCCAAATTAGAAGAGAAGTTTTCGGAAAATAGTGCCCATTTAAAAAAAGAATTGGAAGATAATTTTTTTTTAATTTTTACTCTGGAGGACAGAATTCAAAAAGTGCAAGGCAAGTTTTCCGCTTTAAACGTCAAGACCATCGACGAACGACAGCGTGGACTTTCGTTGGAAAAATCAAGTGAGGTTGGAGCTTCTGTTGGGTCAGCTGGTCATCCAGGAATGAAACCGCCGCAATTTGATGTACAACGCCTTGGAATGTCTACCGGCGTCAGTTTGAGGCAGTCGAGAATGCAAATGGTTGGTCATCGACCGAAAAGGCAACTGCACTCACTTTGGCCCAACGAGATGCTGCAGCTATTCTTCAAAGAATATCACCCGAAGAGCAAGAGGTCTACGAACATCTAGTAGGACATTTGTAGATGCGATATGGCCAGACACATTTAGAACATGTCTACCACACTCAACTAAAGAATCGGTTCCAGAAGTCAGGCGAGTCCTTGCAAGAGTTCGAAGCGGATATTGCGCGGTTGGTACGATTAGCATATCCAGGTGTTCAGGAAAGGATAATGGAGCGATTGGCAGTTCAAGCATTCCTGAATGGACTTTGTGATGGTGAAATGAGGCAAGCCTTACTACTAGCACATCCATCTAAGCTAGTAGATGCGGTAACTTGGGCCTTAGAATTCGAAGCCGCTAAAAACACAAATAAAAGCCAGGTCCGAGTCCGCCAGATGGGAGCAGGAGAAAACGAGTTCGAAGAGTCGGTCAAGCGCATTGTTAAGGAACTTTATGGTGAACATCGCCGCCAGAACAGCAAGCTAGAATATTGAAAATAAGGAAAAATAGGGCACTTAAGGAGAAGCTGTGTAGAGGATGGTAAACATAGCCAGCGGGCAGAGGAGAAAGATGCCCAAGTATTAAGAACCACTGTTAGTGATACTTGGCAAAATGAAGACCTCATTAAAGACGAAGAGGGCGATCCCGATCTCCGAATAATTCTGAACTGGATGAAAGAGCAACGGAAACCAGCCTGGGAGGAAGTTGCCAAGTATACAGATAGCACTGTTGGCGCCATCTGTTGCCAGAGCTTCATAACCGATCTCTGCTTTTACGCGGACCACGACCGCACAAGCCGCTTGGCGACGTCTGTGAGCCTTCTAGATCAACGCGAAGTGACGTCGAAGAGTCTAGACTGCCGCTTTGTGGAACGCCAGACTTTTCTCGGTCCACGATGCGGACTATATAACTCGACGGCCGGGAGATGGAAGCAGAGTACGGTAGAGTAGCAGAGCGGAGTGGGGTATAGTCCAGTCAATGGCGCGGCATAAGAATTGGTCAGACATAAATAGTGGTGTACATAAATGTTCTATCTAGTCAAGATAAATAAATTAGTGCATTTCTTTTCGTGGAATCCAGTGTTTTAATCCACACCCAGAACAACCCAGAAAAACGCTACATTACTTTGAACGACGTCAATGAATAAAGCTGTATTTTAAAACTTTTATAGTACCCTGTACTAACTACTGACAGTGATGATGGGTTGATTATTGTTTCAATTTTAACTTTAAGCTAACCTCAAAATTTCAAAACCTTCATAGAGAGGTTTCGGTAATATTTGTGTCCAAACCGGTAGAGCTATTACGTAAAAACCCTACATAAAGTAAAAAAAAAATGTAAAATGTCTTAGGTTACATTTCATAGGAAAACCTAAAGAATGTCAAAATACCTAGGTGATGTCATAAATAATCGATATAATGTCACCTTTTAAGTTACGTTACTGGTGCCGACAAGAAATGAATATTTTCAGAACCACAGAACGACAAGTGGTCACAAAACCAACAGAACTATAATAAAAGGCTACCTTGCCACATTGCATATATAACAAAAATTAGGACAATTCAATTTAGTAAGAGCGCTGATTAAGGAAAAATAATCTTATAAAGGAAGTCTCACTACTGCGCAAAATCGAAATAACGAATATCATAAGAAAGCACCAAAACAAGAGCACTAAGGCCCGTATCGTCAGTCGTCCCTACAATTGTAGGGCGCGTTTATGGCCTCCTTGATTGTCATACTCCTTTCTCTCCTTCAAAAATTTCTGGATTACACTTGTCCCGTGTCAGCGTCAGCGCTCTCCTATTGTGAAGATATGTTTTCCTTTTAAATTGTAGGAAATTTCAGGCTGATAAAACATGATATAACTCAAAAGCAAGCACAATTTGATGCAAATAGATGTTTGTGAAATAACCTCAAAATAGAGCACTGACATGGAAAAACAGAAACCGATGACAATCAAGGAGGCCATAAAGGTGCCCTACAATTGTAGGGACGACTGACGATACAGGCCTAAAATCTGCTATTCAATCTGTTTGAGAATCATTATGTAGAGCAGTAAATTCGTCGCTGTAAAGACAAAGAGGCGTAACTCCAATTTAGCTATTTTACAGGAGGCGCGATATACGCCCATTTGTTCTCTAAGCACTAGTAAGAATAGGAGATCCGTCGACATACTGATGTGCCATATTACGTTAACTATAAGGAGGAGTGATACGCCACTTCGTCATATTATAGATATCCACTTTGAAAGATTTCTGGTGGTGCTAACTCCAAATAGGCATTTTCCGTCTTTCCAGCGACGAATTAATACTACCAACCTATTTCTCAGAAATTTTATCTGTTTTAGAAAATTTCAGATATATTCATATCATACCTGTTATATTCTGAGATCAAAATCCCAGCAGCTATTAAAAATATAACAGCCTCACCTAGAAGATTGGCTCCTAACTCTATGGCCATGGATTCACTGAGGACTGGTATGTTCACAGGTTTCCCAAGATTCAATATCCACATTTTTGCTTTCACCTCACACCAGTTGTAAACTAAAAATTGTTAATATGTTTATGATTTTATAAAGGGTGCCTCAGTAGATGCATCAGGATCAGTTAATACAGAAAGAAGTAGGGGCTCACCCGATTTTTTGAATCTCAACATCGAAAAGATGAATTTCTGTTACTACATTTATTTGAAAACTAACAAAAATAGTAATGTTTGATGACAATAGATTGAGCTAATTATAAATAATATAAGAATAGTAATAGTAATTATGAAATTCAAACGTCAAAAAAGTAGTTGCGCACTAAAATAAAAAATGGCGTCACGTAGGTTGATTATGCACTTCCCGCGCAACACCGTTGTCTGTTCATAAGTGATTATGTTCAGCCAAAACTGGACCCTCTGAGAAAAGTCGGTCTAAGAGGTCCATACAATTAGTCCATCTGGCAACGTCGCCGCTCCCCGGTACCGATACCGGTCAGATGGGACACAGCGGCCGCAGGATAGTAAATACTATCCTATGGCGCGGAAGTAATACCATAACATTTACCAGGACCAGCACGCCACTGGGAGCAGAAGCAAACGCGGCCGTTAGATACGCGATCCATCTGCAGGGAATGTTTTTCCAAGTTTTTTGTACGGAGAAATCTCTGATGTGTGAAATATGTCTAATAGGTGCGTAGAATTATCAAGGTTGGGAGCGTATAAATATACCAACATCAAAAACTTGAAATACACCCCCTCACTCCTCTATAACCTTTCACCTCCAATGTTTTTGACCCTAAACATTTTTTCAGAAATGATCAGGATACTCTGAAACGTCAAAAAACGAAGTTTGGACGATTTTTACCTTTTTTACTTTTTGTCTTTTTTCCCGCAGCCATTGGACCGATTTTCAAAAACTACAAAGATTTTTCGTCATTGGCCTTGTGTGAAACTATCATTCAAATCCGAGTAGTACTCTCCAAGTTATAGGCGGTCTAAGGATTAGTGGACAGACAGACAGACAGACTGACGGAAATGAGTGGCATGTTTTTTCGTGGTGTACTCATCATCGACATTTTTTGCGACTATAATATTTATTTATAGGATCATCTGAAACGTCATTTTCGAAAATGTTCGCCAATTACAATACTTCCCCGTCAGTAGGAGTGGAAAGTTGTCACGTGCCAAAATCACGTAACTTTTTTACTATTTTGATCACTTATCAGTAATTTGAATTTCTCTTTATTAATAGGAGAGTGCTCATTCCTGGGCCAAACCATTTTTTTAATGATTTTCTTTTGGCGAATTTCATCGTTTATTGATTGAATAATTTCACACGTATTATATCTTTCTTTCTCAGCGACTCAGTATTGTGTTGAAATTTTTTTGGACACTAATGTTATAGTATTATTCACGACTATCGTAGAAATTTCCTCATAAAATATCGTTGGACCCTCGTAGAGTTGGCAACCAGCGCGCCACCTTGTGACTTTACACGTACTAGCCGTATACGGATATTTGGTTCTATCAAGATAAGCTTCTTCAAAGCCATTCATTTAACCTTCTTTTAATGTTTGCTTTCCTATCAAGATACCTTCTGTTAAAATTGGGTTTACTATCAAGAGTGTACTCTTTTAAAATGTGATTTACTATCAGCTACCTTCATTTAATTGCGTACCGACGCGTTTAGGTCCGTATCGTCAGTCGTTCCTACAATTATTGTAGGACGCCTTTACGGCCTCCTTGATTTCCATAATAGATGTCATCTTCAGTAAGGTACTGAAGTGTACTGCTTTAGATTTCTAATCTGCTGCCAATCAAAAGTCAATTGCGATGTTAGGTTATGTTTATTTTTTTGACGTTTAAGAAATTTTAGACAGATGAATCGAATGCCGAAGCATATTTTCTTGCAAATAATGTTGATCAGTCAATAATAATTTCCTACATTGAACAAATTCGTGGCTGTGGTATCTTCAAGTCCCATATCTGGTATTAATAATCTAAAATCAACAATTTAATGCAAATGGATGTGTATTTATATATAAAAGCCTAACGGCTTACAACCAAGCTGTTCTTTGAAGGTAGGTAAGTTACAAAATTAATCATTGCATATTTATATTTATACACTTATCGCATTTTTTTCAGATGTGGTTCGTTCTCACAGACTTTATGAGATGTTGGATAAGAAACATTGTATCCCAAGTGCAACTGCATTGTTGATGTCGGAGATTCCTGTTCACAAATCATTCTTAGACTTTGGATTGCATAGTGTCAGGCTACAAGTATGTATAATGTGTAAATGCTCTGAAATTGAGTTTAAACATGCCCTGCCCTATCTGATATTTTTTTATATTAGTGGGAACCTTAATCTAAAAATTTGAGCCTATAACTCTAAAAAATAGCATTATAAAATTGCAGCCCTCTGGTGTAAAATTTTTAATATTTCTTGAATCTATGCATCTTTTTTGCAGATATAAACCATCGTGATATTGCATCCAAAATTCCATATCTATTTTGGAAGGACAAAGAGGCGAATGATCTTCCGAAGAATGGATTCATGCATCCAGGCACTTGAAAGCATATTTGAAGGGATCAACCTTGCAGAAATAAAGTCAAACTGATCTAGTGACTGACATGTGTTACACTGCAATTTGTAAATTTAATAGGCATAAGCCTGTATAATCATGAAAGTTAAAAGCTATCGAGTTCAAGAGGATCTTAGTTAGGCCTGGGCAGGGGGTTCTCGAATTTCTAATGGTTGCAAGTTTGGTACCTACAATTAATTAACTTTCCCAATATGATCTAATGTACCCCCAAACTAGAAAGATTTGTTTGTAATTGATTAGATATCGTTTTAGACCTGTTTACATAGCTTGTAGTTCAGAAAATAGCTAGCTTTGTAATTTAGAAAATCTAGTGAATGTCATGCTAGAGAAAAAGCATTTGTTTTAAGAGAAAGGAAGGAATAGAAATTGATAAAATCTATATTTCTAGATATTTTTGAAGAACCTATTGTATTTCTGTGGGTATAGAGAATAAAAAATATTTATTTTACCAAGAATTCTTTTATTTATAGTCTGCAAATACTTACCAACTGAAAAATATAATACATGAAATTGTTAAGGAATTCATAGATAGTATGTCAAAATACATAAGTATCAGTAATCAAATGAAGTCTTTATATCTAAAAGGTACAACTGATAGCAGGAAATATGACTACAAATATATAGCCCAAAAAAAACATATCCAAAATGAAAAACTACAATAGTGTACAACAACTTTTAATAATTTTGGATTTACTTACATAAAATATATAGTGTTTGCCAACGGAATGTCAATATTTAAGAGGATGACTTTTGGTTCCATTTTAAGAAGAAAACTTCATATAATATACGTATATAATCGTATGACCTAAACGAATTGACTTTTGAGAAACGAGGCGGCAAACTTGTCAAAAATCAATAATTTTTTTGTTAAGATCTGTAATACCACTTTAAATACTTTATTAAAATTCGGTATATACGTATATGTCCTATCAAGAGGAATTTTTAATGTACTAATTATCTTTTAATTTCAACGAGCGATGTTCGTAGTGATTTCACTTGCCTCTTTTGGCAGACAATGATAGTGCGCAACTGATTTCTCTTAAAATAAAAACTACTCTTGAAATTCCGTCATTTTTAAGCAAATTTGATCCCTTATTTTTTCACTCCGATGCACGGTATTCGCTTACAAAAATAAAATAACGTTTCTTTGCATGAACCTAATATCGTTAGTATGACAATGTCACTATGTGGAGAAATAGATTGTATTTTTCTGGTGAAAACCGTGCGTCAGACCTAAAGAACTCAATCTTTTATTCGACCCAAGATTTCCATCCAAAAAATAACAAATTTTTTTGCATGGCGATTTTGTCATGTTAATATTGTTATGATCGTTTTTATAAAAACCGTGCATCAGATTGAAAAAAATCCAAGAGATTTTTGTTTAGAAGTGATTGTAAATTTTAATAAGAGAGAAATAAACGGCATACCATAACTGACTATCAAAACAGGCAGGTAAAATTAAAAGATTGCCTCTTGAGTCGTATACATGTATGCCAAATTTCATTAAGTGCTATTACAGATATTCATAATCGATTCATTTTTTTACCTTTTTACCACCCTGTGCTTCAAAAGTTGAAAAATTTAGGACAAACGATCATAGAAAGTTTTCATCTTAAAATGGACCTGAAACCACCACCTTAGATATGGAGATTCAATTACACTGGGGAACAAAATAAAAATATTTTTTTTGTGACATGGACAAAACAAGGTGGTTATTATGTAAAACGTACCTAAAAGCCGGAAATAGCATTCGATTTTTTCGATCACACACGGTTTTTTTGAAATAAGGCATTTTATTTCCTGCTTATACTCGTAAAGTATAAGGATATGTGTGTAAGAGTACTAATAAACACTCGAATAAACATTGATCTCAGAATGTTGTTGTCGATGTTTTACGGCGATATGTTGCTCCTGAAGTATCTCTTAACAATGTCCAGCAATAATCAGTAAGCAAATTGACACTCCATTTACCTTGATACCGTTTTTCCATAGCAGAAATGTCTTGGTGGAACCGTTCACCATGTTCATCACTTACCGCACCTAAATTTTTTGGAAAAAGATCGAGATGAGAATCCAAAAAGCGAATTTTTAGAGACATGTTACATCCCATTCCTTTATAAGCATTAATTAGTTCACTCACAATATCTTTATAATTGTCCGCCTTCGCATTGCCAAAAACATTTGCAGTAACCGATTTAAAAACATTCCAAGCTCGTCATTCAGTTTCATTTAGAGCACTGTCAAACACATCATCCTTCATGATTTTCCGTATTTGGGTACCCACAAATATGCCCTCTTTAGTTGTGGCCTCACTAAGGGCCAATTTCACCAACAACACTCCGTCATTCTCCACCTATAGGGTAACAGACCGTCAAATACAACGAATGAGCCTCAAGTTCCAATCAACAAATTTTAGCAACCAATAGCTATGAAATGTTGAAAACAAAATACTGTCA